CGCTTTATGTTTACGTCATAGTCATTTTTAACTATAAAGCAAACGTCGACAGCTTAAGAAGTGTGTAATCAAACAATGAAGTAAACAAATTACTCGAAAGCGACGATACTCGGTATACTTTTTCGCCCTTTGCTGTCAGGTATCACTTCAACAATACCTGATCCAGAATGGTAAACGGCAATACATGAGAATGTCGTCCCTAAATCAATACCAACAATACGAGGAGGTGGAGGAGGCAGATATTTCTGAGCGAGGTATCCGGCAAGCAGCACAGCCAAAAAGGCAGAACCTAAATACGAAACGAAACGGTTATTCATTCAAAGTATAACAAACGCAATACTGATTGCAAATTCTCAACGATTTGTCATGAGATAAAAAAAATAGCTGCTGTCCTATGTTATGTATGACGTTACTCTCGGTCAAAACCGAGAATTAAAATGTGGCTGACATCTACATAAACATAAATTGAGATTATCGAAGGGAACTTTTCAAAGGATACAAAAATTTCAGCGATTGATAGCCGCCTCACTATAAGTGTGCATAACAAAAGAAACGAACATATGAAACAAAAGTTTTAAGGTATATAGTGAAGATAATAAATTATAAGCTTTTCGTATCAAGCCATAAGTTCAGGATTACGAATAATGTCCAAAATATGGGATCGCATGCAGGGGCCAAACATGATGCAATGTATTCTTAACAGCGAAGAATCATTCCGTATTTCGAAATGATAGACGACTGACTAAGCAAGAAAATACAATCAGGGTTCACTGGTTTTAACGCAGGTACGTAACTATGGCAAGTGCAGTCTGATTACAGTCTCGGGTGAAAGAACTGAAGACCATCGTCCATATTTATTCCTAAATACAGTAAATATTATGAAACTCTGTAGAAGGTATCGTTCTGGACGAGGTTCAAATTCAAAACAATGCATGTTAAATTTCTCAAAACTTGAACAGCGTTCAATTGCCATGCTAATAAGCACTGCGTGATGTCCACAGAGTGGGAATGTCGATAAAACCAAGAAAGAAGAATTTACATTAAAAACAATGATAATGGATTGAAACAGCGAAAATGCAATGTAAAGAAAGAAAAATCTATTTTTCGCTTTACACCAGCAGCTCTATTGCACCGATCCGTTGCTACCTGACTCCTAAGGGGCAATTTAAGCAGTTCATGGCTTCATGATATTTAAGCGACTGCGGGGCATAGGATGCGGGACCGCGTCTCAAATTTGGGTTAAACAAAAGTATACTGATCTAAGGAACATTGCCAAGATTCGTCGATGAACGAGTGACAAGATATAACACCGCTGTTCTGGGGGGAGTCTTTCGATACTGCCGTTGAATACATCACATTAAAAATTGATACCAGATTGAAACGGCGAAAATGGAGTGCAAAAACTTATTTCTATTTTATACCAGCACATCGGGGTTATACTCTGTCACAGAGAAGAGTTTACTTAAAGGAATATTCCACTTGACCATAATGGAAAGTAGAATAAAAAATAGTCTATTATGGAGCCTGAGCTGTAAAAAAAATCTTCCGGCAAGAGGCACTGTGGTTATTTCGTGTAAGAACGAGAACGATACGAACTGAATATCGTTCACAGTTTATTTTGGGAACATCTCGTTAAACCAAATATCGCAAATGATTGATTATTATTCAATTTGAGAACTTTTCTATTTTACTGATCATTAACTTTTAGCAAAGTACACGTACCCACAACGGTGACTGCTGTAGACATCGAATCCAACGAACGCTGCTTTTATGTATGGTAGACCACTTTTCGGCTGCATGTCAGCATTTCTGATGAAACCATCATTACTTTAAAATTGACGAAGAGGAACAATGCGATCTACACATAAATGCTGAATGCGTTTTCTCTAAAGGATATTTCAGCGCATACTTGATGAGGTTAAAATTGTTTGGCATTCAATAAGATATCTGTGACCTGGAATAAGCAGACGATATAGTTTTTTTTGCAAAGAGTACGGAGAACAGGCTTCGCCAATGAAGGCTGATGTATTCAACATAGCTACAAAAGTCGGCATTTTCTTTGAAGCCAGGGAGTCAAAGTTATGAGGAAACTATCCGGCACATTTTACCTACAAGTGGAACAGGAAGGTGAATCCCTTTATAAGGATGACCAGTTTAAGTATATAGACTCCATCATCTCCAGCAATGACACTCTCTAGACAGAGTTAAGTACGAGAATCAGGGTTGTTCTTGTACGGCATGAATACCGCTGTTCTAACGAAGGACAGTAGGGGCAACAGCAGAGTTTCGACATAGGCTTCGAGGCATAATGTGGATTAAATGGCAGGAGTACGGAAAGAATGACTCTATTATCTTCTGGTCACAAGTGACAAGTCAAATCACAAGTCTTCTGGTCACAAGATTAACTTCTGGTCACGAGACAAGTCACAAGTCTGTATACGTTGAGACCCATGAAGGAAGAGATCTGTGCTGCTTGACAAAGCAGTCCAAAATAAACCATTACTACAGTCTGTCAGCTTTTCGTGCGACAGTCGAAACATGTGCACGTAGATCAGGGACCAACATGCAACACAGAAGAACAGAGTAAAAATAGATCTTCTTTCAGAGAGTAATATTTCCCTCCATGATGCACTGATCAATACCTAACGCTGAGAATACAACGAACATTAAGAACCAGATACGTTCTGCTTATGCAAACAACTCAAGATGATGAGTTCAGCACACGCACAAGGAGATTGTTTGATGAGATATCTGTAGCCCCTCTCCAACATCCGCTATCGGTATCACCGTCATCATGGGTGAGTAGGAACTAAAATACGGACGGCATTATGGGAGAAAGTACGGTAAAACAGATATTCCTTAGTCGATGTGGTAAAAAATACCTCCATTTGAACCCCTGAAACGGTGAGAAGACGAGGCTGAGAGAATGCCTACTGTCTAGGAGAAGGAAATGCTTAAAACCAAACAGGTCTGGAGTTGGGCACGTTTATATTAATCCGTATATAACTATCGTTTAATTAATAGTCAAGTTGTTCATCTGGCGGAATGAAAACGCATTTTTCTCTGTGACCAATCGCATTAAGTTCATTTATTTACCGTTACTCAGTTCGCTCAGAGGTAACACTTTCGCAAAAGAATCCCCCGACCAGAACAAGCGCTAGACGTCTACGGTTGAGAAAATTCAGTTATTCATTCACATTTAGAATAATTTACACTTCAAAAGGCAGTTTTTTAAATTTAATGTCACTAAAGCATTTACAAAACAAATTCGAGCATATTAAAAACATCAATATTTTCTATTCAATACATATCAGCATAGAGAAACAGCTGCGACACGAGTACACTACATAATCAATGACAGACATAATTCGACGTCATCACTTTATACAGTACAAACACAAGCGCAAAAAGCCATACAATTTGAATGGAATGAAGTTTAATTTAGGTAATGTTTTTCAAATCACTTCAACATGTTGCGGATGTGAAGAACCAGTCGACGCAAAGTATGCAGGAGAGAACCTCTTCGTACGTCACGAATGCATGGACAGCTGAAAAGTTCAACGGTTTCAGTAGTTTGATTTGCAAGTTAGAGTATTCAAACACGGTCATTATCAGACAGATAATGCTCGATATAATGATACCAACCTCATAAACCTGAAGTTAGTTCACGGCTTGTCTTTAATCACAATGAACTGTACTTCTGACCGCGACGAATTGCAGACGCAACGTTATCATATAACATAATTTTATGCTATGAGCGTTTTTATGTTACCACAGGAAAAGAAAACATGATTCTTATTACTCGCATGACAGCGACGTACTATCAGCGTTTCGGTTGATCCCATTGAAATACAGTTGGATGAATTCCATACACAAAATGATTATAATAAATTTAATACCGTGCATGAGATTTGACATCGGTACTTCTAAAGTAAAAAGCAGTACTGTTTAAAACTACGCATGATGAATTTAAAACTGATCATGAAATGAGCGGCCGTTCCATTCGTCTCGCTTTATTTTCAAAGTCCGACGACATCAAGCGCACTACATATATTGGGTACTGGATCAAGTATTACAAATTCATGATTTGCAAAATAGGAATTAGAAGAAGGTTCAGTCTTAAATGAAATGGGACGATTTAACCACTAATAAAATTAATTGAATAGATTCTGCTGAACATAACGACCACACTATTTAGCAGTGAGTTCACGTCGCCATTAAATGCGCATGCTCACGAAAGAATGGCCCATTCAGATGATTAAACTTTCTATTCTTGCAACCGTCAAAATTTCACTAAAGTCATTATTTGCCTATTGATAGGGTGAAATTTTCGACGTTGTACTCGGCGGCTAAATTTTTGGATTGAATCCATGAATTGGAAAATCGGATGACGATTTCAGATTTACAGACTCTCAGCTTCTTCATTCATAGATTGTACAAAATTTTATGTTAATTCCTTTTCAATCG